GCCTAGCTACTACATCTTTGGATCCTCTGTACTATTCTTGTTGAGACTATACTTCCTTCCTCTGGTTTCTCCCAGTCAGGGACCAAAATCCACCCATTTCTGCCTGATGCAGGAAAATTTAGCAGAATCCCTTTGCCTGAGGACTCCCCGTCAGCCGGGCCAAGACATTCCCAGAACGACAAGGCAGTCTGAAGCTCTTCCTACTCAAGCCTCCTCCCTTCCTACTCTATTTTCCCAGTTGTCAGACCTCCATCTGGGTCTGAAGGCTCGCCTTCCCCTTTCCTCCTCCTTCCTCCCTTATCCTATACAAGCATTTCTCCCAGAAAAAAACCATTGTGGCATTTGATTCTCAGAGGACCCAAACCAACACAGGGATCAGTGAAAAAACACTGGAAAAGAGTTCATAAATAAGACTGTAGATTCTCTTGCAGAAGGGATTTACATACCAAGATGTGCTGGGTCCATTTCTCAAAACCTCTGTGCACACAAATCAACTGGGGATGGTGTTGAAATGCAGATTCTGGTTCAATAGGTCTAGGGTGGACCCAAGTTGCTATATTTCTAAGAAGCTCCCAGAAGGTACTGATGCTGCTGACCAAGGACCACGGTTTGAGCAGCAAGGTGCTGGAATCTTTATTTGCCCCGCTGAGTCTCTCTCCTCCCTGCTCCGAATGCTGGGAGGCTGACTGTGAGGATGATCACATCAGCAGGCTCTGAACTCTGGCTAACAGTTGGGTTTGGCCAAAGAGGAGCAGTGGCAGGAGATCAGAGGGCCAGAGGAGGACGAGGTCAGAGGTTTTTATTCCTCTGGGGATTACTCCCTACTGGGTTGCCTGGGGTTGGCTGTGTCCCTCTATCAAGCTCCATTAACTCTTCTCAGGTAGATCGTTCCAGTTTTCTCTCTTGCTAAATTCCAGTAACTGCTCTCTCCCTTTCTCATTCGGGCCTGGGGTGGTAATGGCTCCCTACTGTTACTAGCCTCTGAGAACTGCATCATGCCTTGTGGCTCTTAGTAAATCCTGCCCACATGTCTGTATTTAGTCCTTTAGTAAACATTCCTCCTTTCCTCAGCCAAGTGTGCCATCTGTTTCCTGCTGGGACCCTGACTGCTACAAGCAGGATTTTTTTATAATAGCACAAAACTGGAAACAAGCTAATTGTGCATCATTTTGAAATGATTAAATAAATTATGGTACATCTGCTTAATGGTGTTACATGCAACCATTAAAAAGGATGCAGTGGATCTATATCCACCTACATGGAAATATACCCAAGGGGGTATCTGAAGGGGATGGGGGCGTGGATATTCAGAATAGCATGCATAGTAGGAAACCATTCATTTAAAAAGTAAAATATGCATTGTTAAGGTTTGGATTGCAAGTGACAATCCTGCTCAAAACAAATCTAACCAAAAATAATGGGAGAGGATTCTCATCCCATCTCTTTCTATCACATGTCTCTGCTTTTCTGTGTGGTGGTTTCACTCTCAGGCAGGCTGTCTTCTAATGGGAACAGAGTGAGCCTGGCTTATGACATCCTAACAGCCAACAACTTCAGCAAAGAAGGCCTCCTTCCCATTTGTTTTAGCAAAAAATCCTGGGCTGAAGCATTTGGAATGGGCTTGGACAGGCGCTAATCACTGAACACAAGAGCTGAAAGTTGGGGGGGAGGCTCCCCAGAAGAAAGAGGTGTCTCTTTCCCGAGTAGGAGAGGCAGGGCCAGTGTAAGCAATAGAGATCCACTCTAGAGGGACTATTTGTAGTAGACATTTGTTATCCTTTTTGGCTGCCCAACATCAGAACTCCCTTCCTCTCTTGGAGAGTCTTCTCCATCCGGGGCACCCACACTGGAGCCTACTTCCCACGTTACATGCTGAAAATGCCAGAAATGCACTTTCCCAGCCTCCCTTTCTGCCAGGCCAAACTTTTGACCTGGCCAGGCCATTCAGATGTTCCCACCTCAGGCTCTGACTCTGAAGCTAAAAGGGCTCCATCCTGTTATAGTGTGCAGCCTGGCATGATTTGGGACATTGTTCCTGGTTGTGGGGCCTCCAGGGCTGGTTCTCTTGCCCTTGTGAGGTCTGTGAACTATAAAAAACAAACAAACAAACTTGTATTAAATCTTTCTGCTTAAATAATGCAGAGGGTTCATTTCTGCTGCTTGCAATCCAGAAGCTTGATTAATGCCTATGTGTAGGTGTGCATGTTTGAATACTTATGAAATGTTTTTGGAAGGATAAAATAAATGCGAATCTAAGTTACCTACGGGAAGGAGGACTAGGAAAGTGGGGAAGGAGGGAAAAGAACTTTTGCTTTCACTTTATGCCCTTTTATACTGTTGGAATTTGTTTTGTTTTTACCATGTACATTACTTTTACAATGAAATAACAAGTTAGTAAAATGTAAGACACCTGAATAAATAGAATAAGACAAGGAAGCAATTGCACAGGATTTTCAAGGGAACAATTCTTCATTAGACATTCAAAACCAAGTCATTCTCACCTCTACTGTGGTGAATGGGGCCAAATCTGGAAATGAGGGACAGTGTCAGGTACATGTGGTTTTATTGTGTTTTCCTTTATTGTGCTTCCCAGATATGTTGTCTTTTATAGACTAAAGGTTTTTGGCAATCCTGTTCGAGCAAGTCTATCAGCACCATTTTCCAACAGCATTTGGCCACTTTGTGTCTCTGCATCTCATTTTGATAACTCTTGCAACATTTCAAACTTTTTCATTATTATTATATCTGTTATGGTGATCTGTGATCAATGACCTTTGATGTTACTATTGCAGAAAGATTATGACTTGCTGACGGCTTAGATGATGGCTAGCATTTTCAGCAATAAAGTATTTTAAATCAATGTATGTACGTATTTTTTAGACATGCACTATTGCACACTTAATAGATTATAGTATAGTATAAACATAACACTTACATGCACTGGGAAACCCAAAAAATATCTATGTGATTTACTTTATTGTGGTGGTATGGAACTGAACCTGAAATATCTCCAAGGTATGCCTGTTCCAGTTTCAACATGGCCTAAGGGATTACTCTATCCCTGTAACTCACCTGCTCAAATGCTTTCCATGACTCTCCATTACTCACAGAATAAACAGAATAAATCCCTGGCACTGAATCATTTTGCAGTCTGAGCCCTGTGTACTTTAGAGACTTTTCCTCATCTTTACATTTCGCCTAGAAGACCTTTTCTTCCAGCCCTGCTGGCCCAGATCCCAAGGGCATTACCATCATCTTGGGTCTGTCAAAGTCATGACTCTTATTCCTTCCTCACCCACTCATCAAATTCTGTTCTGTATTATAATCCTGCACATGAGACTTAGTCATTTAATAGTCATGTACAGAACACCTACCGTTATGTCTAGCTTCTTGCTAGGCTTTGGGGCCACAGCTGACAGTCTATGGAAACCAAATACTCTAGATCAGAATGTTAGTATCTATTATCATGATGAGCATGTGGTGTAAGCTATTTGCTGGCAGGGCTGCTCTGGTTAGAATCCTTCTCTTCCCCTCTGCCTAGATTGCACTCTCTCCAAATGTCAGCATGACTCGATTGCTCAATTCCTTCAGGTCTCTGTGCAAATGTTACACTTTCAGTGACACCTTCTCCACCCAACCTATTATAAAATAACACACCATCCCCTGTCCCATTTACTTGGATTTATGCTATGTTCTATTTATTATCTTAATAACACTCATCACCATCTGACATACAAGTTACTTACTTGTTTGCATATTTACAGCCTGTCTCTTCCCCACTGTCAGGCCCAGGAAGGCAGGGATTTTATTTTGTTCCCTGCAGCTTCTCCAGCACCTAGAGTAATGCCTGGCACACAGTAGGCACTCAGTAAATATCTGTTCAGAAGAGAAAGAGAACTGGACTGGATGTCAGAACACCCAGTTCCTAGTCAAAGCTCTCCTGCTGTTTAGTCATGTGGCCTTTAGCAAGCTTCAGTTGCCTTCTCTGTAAATTGGGGGTGATCGTTTGAGGGGTAATCGTATAGGGATGATCAGCTTTCCCATAGCTGACAGTACTGCTGTAAAAGATCAGAGTGGGTCCCAAACTTTAGCACGCCTCAGAATCACCTGAAGGGCTTGTTAAAATATGGATGGCTAGTCTCCACACTCGGTTTCGGTTTCGGAGATCCAGGTCTGCGGTGGGATGAGAAAATTTGCATTTGTAAAATGTCCCAGATGGTGCTGCTTCAAGAACCACTGGTGAAGAGAGATGAAAGTACAAAAGTTACTTGTAGCCCTAACGCACATCCCAAGTAAGGACGGCACTGACGGCCCCGCAGGACATTTCTGCGTGGACAGAGTAGACCTATTCGTTCCTTAATTCAGTCAAGGACTATTTAGGAAGCGCCGAGTAAGTGCCGGGCGCTGGGGTTATCAGCGGCGCAAGCCACAGGCCAGGCCCCTGAGGCGGTGGGCTCAGACCCCGGCCCAGTGGTAGGGAGTTCGCAGTGTGAGGAGGGCTGAGGCGGCCGCTCCGACCTCCGCACGGGGCAGGAAGTCTCCGGAGCCGCCGGCAGGGCTGCAACCGGGGGCCGAAAAGGCAAGGCGAACCCGCGAGCTCGACCGCGGACGCTGCTCGGAGCTTCCCGGAACCCGCTGTCCGGCCCTCGCTCCCCCCGACGCAGGCGATGGAGGCGCGCCCTGCTCCCGAGCGCGCGCCCAGCACACAGTAGGCACGCGGCCTTGCCCTCGGCGCGCGCCCGGCACACAGTAGGCGCGCGGGCGGGCGGAAGGGGGCGCCGGCGCGCGGTATCCGGGGGCGGAGTCGGCGCGGCTGGCTGGGCAGACAGGCGCGGGCCGCGGGCCGCGATGGGCGAGGGC